CACATAATTACCTGAAGGTATTTCCTTATTGCTTGATTTTATTTCACTGCACGAGATTGGCTTACGAACCCCTAGAGAAGTGCTTGCTTTAACGGAACGATGGAAATTTCTCGCTATGCAGGTATAGGACCCAGCGTAATTTGGTGAAATGTTCTTAAGAAGCAGAGATCCGTTTGGATAAAGGATACGATTGGTTGGAAGACTTTGGCCTACACGTTGCCAAACAGTTTCTCGTGTTCCTTGCGCGGAGCAGGGAAGTAACACATCTCCAGAGGTTAATCCTAATGATTTACGAGAAGGAATTAAAGTAAACTTGAGGGCCTCAAGCACAATGACTTGTACTAAAGCTGAATCTTGATTGAGAAGATTCTTTGCCAAACATATATAATCTCCTCCTTGACTTTTCGTCACTTTCACCAGGCTGAGTTTTCCTCCCTCGACATTGGTTATTGTCTTTTTTGGTGTGTTGATATATAGAAGAGCCAACTTTCTCCACGTGACTGTTGGTGTCGGCTGACCAGTAGCTTGGCAGACCAGGCTCACGTTCTGTCCTTCCTCAACGATGACAGAGGAGGGCTTAAGGGAAATCAAGGCGCCAACTAGATAACAACAGAAAAAGTGTCAACCATGAGGTATAAGTGGAGAGAAAAATTAGATCATAGACTAATAGCGATGCAGTGAATGGACCTTTGGCATATTAGTCTTCAGTTGAATTACATTATGGTTTCAATACAAGTTCATGTTGGGCATATGTGTCTTCGTCTAGATTTCTAGTTGCTTTTGAAATCAAAACTTTCTCTGGTAACGTTAAAAAGAAATAAACCATGAGTTCTAGGCTAGTAGTCTGTAGCCTTTTATTTATACATTCACGCAAACCAACATCGTTTATAAAATAACTGATCTGCTACGCGCGCTCTCATTGGTCGATAGGTGTGTTTAGATAAGAGTGTGTAAACACGGTTGTGACGTTTTTATAGATTGGCGCGTATTTGAGAATTATTTTATAAAAGAAATAGAGCCCTTTTTCCATGTTTACATAGCCTCAACTAAACACTTGGGGGATTGGGAGAATTCTCGAAAGTTATGCAAACTCGAGACGAGGCTGTCTCGAGTTCTCCCAGCCGTACTCGTAAAATGTTAAAATCCTGGTTTAACCTAAGAAAGTTGTAAATTAAAATGTTTACCATTTTTGACAGAAAACATAAGGTGTACCACTTTCTGATACGTGCGATAGGCATACTTTATCCCTTTCCTATACCCTTGCATTGCGTAGCTCCTTTAAATCCCCCTGATGACTTTGCAACTGACGTTACATGCATTTGTTTGGTGCAAATTGAAAGGGCCTCCTTTGTAATATCGAAATAGTTTTTCCTTCCCTTTTCTAAACAATTGAGCTGGTAAAATCCCTACCCTTTTATGTATCTCCAGTCTTTTAAGACGGAGCCCGCCCTGTAGTAATATTACTCCCCTCCTCTTTCCAGTGAATTTCTAAACTTCGCGTGTAAATTCCATATATAACAGGGTAAATTTTTTATTTCACCTTGAACAGTTAAAGTGGCCGATGAGGTTATTTCTCCAAGAATATTTCTTGCCACACAAGTGTACATTCCTTCATCTTGTGACGTCACATCTGTTATCATCAGTCCACCACGTGACGACACAACTCGTTTATCCGCGGCAAGACTGGAATTCTGTTTCAGCCATGTGACTTTAGGTTGTGGGTTTCCATCAGCTTGACACTGAAACGAGGCTGTACCGGATTCGTTTACCACCATGGACATCGGAGGTGCCACAATTGAAGGGGCT